TTTTTTTTTTTTTTTTTTTGAGATAGGGAAGGTCTCAGCTAATAAGGTCCAGGCTGACCTCAAACTCATGTGCTCATAGCCCTCCCATCTCATCCTCCCAACTGTATATGTGTGCACCATCATGCCTGGGTTATATGTTTTCTATTGATTATGAATCACATAACTTTTTTCTGCATGCTTAGTAATCCTTTATTGTATACTGGACTTTGGAATATACTATAAAGTCTATGGATTGTATTTTCTTCTAAAGAATATTGTGCTTTGTTCTGGCTTTATAAGGGAATGTTTCACGGAAAATAGCTGAAAGTATAAACCCAATAAAACTTGTTTCATAATGTAACCTTGATGCTGTGAAACTTTAAGCTTAGTTACAGTTAGTTTCTTTCCATTTTGCCCTTGGTCCTAAAACACAGCCCTTAGTGCAACAAAGTTGTCACTGCTTCTAAAGCATGGCCCTTTTGGGGTTTCAGTGATAAACACAAAGTTGTTTACTCATCCTCAGTGAAACTTGAATTTCAAAATTCAATCTCCTACAGTGATGCTTTCTGGACGGTTCCTCTGAATATCTCACTGCACAGGTACAATTTTGGAATCCATGAAAAATTGGAAAGGAATTTGTAGGGAGCTGTTTGGGCTTACTTCTCTGAGGTCTTTCTTAGATTTCTAATTTCCTGCTGTTCTAGAAGCTCCACTGGATTTCTCAGCCAGCAAGACTGCTACATTCGGCTTGAATTCTAGTCTCAAATGAACTGTACAAGTTGGACATCATCCCACAGGAAAAGCCAGTTCATGTGGACCTCTTATAGTGTAGGATTTTGTGCAGTTTCTGCCTGGATTTAGTTATTCTCTAGAGCTTTCTAGTCATCACTTTTTATATTTTGTTCAGTTTTTAAGTTATGGACAAGAATTACAAAAAATTTCATTATCAGACTGAAACCTCTGAAATCTCAAAATGTTTTAAATTTTTAAAAAATGAAGACAAATTAAAGTTTATAATTTATTTACAATCCATTTAGGATAAAAAACCTACTTTGTGCAACTGCACCCTTTAATTCATTTCTTCTGAAAAGAAGTACAAAAGATCAGACTAAAACTGAGATAAGCATTTAAAGAAAAATCCTTTAAGAGTCCCAAAACAAACTGTAAATGGTTCGTCTTACCAAAAGAATTTGTTTTTGTACAAAATATAAAGAATTTTACACTATAAACAAAGGCGGTTGTACATGTATTTAAATTAGAATTTTATCTGATTTTCCTCCAATTCTTCTTGAGCACAGAGCATACAGTATTTTCAAGTCAGAAAGCTAATAACCAAACCTCAATGGGCAGACTGTCTCAGAATAAACTTTTTCCCTAATATATCTAGAAAGATAGTATTCATTCTTTCCTTTTGCTCATCCAGTACACCAGTAAATTTTAATTTAGTTTACAAAATTGACATATTAACATGAAAAACACACTAATGCTTAATATTTAAGCATTATCATTTAGGAAACAATATAACACAGAGCTTGACACAGTATCTAAATGGTTACAGTCTAATAATTAATTCAGGAAACCTTAACAACTTCTGTCAAACATGACCAAATGGGGCTGGGGATTTAGCTCAGTGGTTCCGTCACCTGCCTCGCAAGCACAAAGTCCCGAATTTGATCCCCGGAACCAAAAAAAAGAAAAAAAAAAATTTTTACCAAACCGATCCCATACCTCCTACTAGATCATTATTCTTTTTCCATGGCCCTTCTATGAAATAAACACAACTTAAAATAAAACCTGGTTAGGGCCAGGGATTTAGCTCAGTGGTACTGCTGCCTACTTTGCAAGTGCAAGGTCCTGAGTTCGATCCCCAGTACCAAGCAACACAAAACAATAACAACAACAAAAAAAAATAGAGTAAGTCACAGAAAATAGTTCTCTAACACCGGGTGAACTTCAAACTTGATCATCAAAGAAACTTCTCTGCATGCAAGGATATTCATATAGCAATATAATTTTGGCCTGTTTATGATAATGTTGACTTTTACAATCTTTTAGCATTTGAAAACTTCGTTGTCTAAAAACCTTCCCAATAGAATTATAAGAAGCACAATAATTTTGTTTGTTTGTTTTTGGTTCTGGGGATCAAATTCGGGACTTTGTGTTTGCAAAGCAGGTGGCAGAACCACTGAGCTAAATCCCCAGCCCCAAGCACAAGAATTTTAAAGGAGCCTATATTTAAAACTTTCATCTGAAATTATAGAGCCCTGTACTGAATTGCAGTTACCTAAATATTGACATTTTAATCCCTAAGTGAAAACAAAATGAAATTTTATGAATTTTACTGCAAGTTTTTATTTCCCCAGTTCTCCTGTCATCACTTTGTATTATCATTATTTTAAAATTGATGCTTTAACATTTGAGACTTTAAAAAGACCTATGACCTAAAATATGCATAGCTTATGCGTAGCTCTGGCTTTAATTTTTTTTTTCCTGTTTATCTCAATTCTCATTTTTATCATCTAAAGAGCTAAAGGTTTGTGATTAAGTCGGTATGATTTAAGTTATGGCTACAAATAACAAATGATACTATAAGAATTCATATGTCTTCTATATTTAGAATAACTTTTTAACAAGAACATAAGTAAAACCAAGGAAAATTATGTTCTTGCTGTAAAATTCTTATCTAGTGTGGGCAACTTGTCTTTTTAAAACAATTTTTTGGTACTGGGGATCAAACTCAGGACCTTGCATTTCTGAGGCAGGTGGGGCACCACTAAGCTAAATCCCCAGCCTTTGGGCAATTGTACTTTAATATGTTCTTTCAAAACATCTTTCCTAAATGAAGTCTATGTTACTACTACAAAATTATTCTTTCCACTCATGACATTTTACACAGCATCATTAAAGCACCAAAGAAAATTCTGTAAACAAACTTTTAACCAGTAAACTAAGGGCAAATATCCATTTGCCTTTATTACAATATTTTAAAGGCCATGATATGCATCTCTACTTCCTACAGTGAACATTTTTATAATAAAAATTCAAGCATATTTATACGAACAAGAAATAGCTGCTGTACATTTTGGAGAAACTAGACATACAGACTATAACTTTAGTTAGTAAAGTGAGCACAAGAAACCTATAAAATGTATGCAATGTATATAAAAATTCAGTATTTTAGTTTCATTGAAGGGATTCATAATTAAGAAAAAAAGATGGTAGTTCTATTGGCTTATAATTACCTTGTAAACAGTAAGAAAGTGATAAACAATGAATTAGAAATTTCTTATCTCCCAGCATCCCCTTCTAGTACCGGAGCTGCTATTTTAACAGTTAAAATTGGCTCCTTTGAGTATCAGAATTTTAGCAGAAAATGAATTCCATGTGGAATAAATTAACAGTCTACAGCAGATTCCTGACTTTCAAAAAAAAATAGTGCAGGTCATAAGAGGACTGATTTACATATTATATGACAGAGAAACTCAAACCTTCAACCCTTTTCTATTTTACCAGGTTTGCTTTGTTGTTATTATATTGCTTTCTAAATTATTTGGCAGCAAGGTAACAGAAAAATAAAAACAAAACTGTTTAATGTCTGCAGATTTCTGAAGAAAAAAAGCCTCAAAACAGCCTTTTCCTATTGCTCTTAGGAAAAAGTTCCTTTTGGCACTCTGGATTTGTAAAAGGAAAATTATAAAAAGGAAACATAAAGGTGTTTGGTATTCCAATACAGACAGTTAAGAGAAACACAGGAAAGGAAAATAAGAAAAACATTAGAAGACAGACAACCACAGGCTTTTGTGTCTTCTACCATTCGCTGTATGTGGAATACTTTCACCTGCAACACAATATACAAATTATTATTTACACTAGGATTATACTGATAAAGAAGACCAGATTCGGTTTTTGTTGTGCTCTAATTTAAGTGCCCATTGAGATACCATGACCACCAAGGCAAGAAGGCCTTAAACAACAAAACATTCCATTCACATTCTATATTGTATTCTCGATCAAGTTTGGTACACAAATAACTGTGAGACTCTGAAAAGTCCTGTAAACTTAAGCTGAATTTCTGTAGCTGATAACTGTTCACTGAAGACCAGATGATTCTCTCTTGTTAAATAAATGTTCTGCAGGCTTACAAAGGTGTTCCTTTAAACAGTGGTATCTCCAAAGTCCTTGTTCCAACGTATGTATGCTTCTAAAGTTTGAGGGCTCACACTGCGTTTTATTTTTTTCAAGGATTCAGTGAAGTCAGATAATCGAATATTTCTCATCTAGATTTTTAAAAAACACATTACGTACAAATGATGAACACATACAGTGATGGATTAAAACAATGGTATGTTATTAATAAATACAAAGTACTCTTAGTCATGGCAATCATTTTAATGTATTTTCTAAACTACTATATATATTAGGCAAGTTGGCTATATAAGGTACCTTACAAAAATAATATAATAGCTACTTTATTATTGTTTCATTTCCTACATACTAGCTTTTTTTTTTCAGTACTGGGGACTGAATTCAGGGTTTCCCACATACTTAGCAAATACATGCTTAGCAAATACTCTAGAGCTCAGCTATAGCTCCCCTTAAAAATTTTGTTGTTTAAATTTTGAGAAAGGGTCTTGCTGAATGCCCAAGCTGGCCTTGAAATTGGGATTCTTTTGCCTCAGTCTGGGGATATAGCCCAGTGGTAGAGTACAATGGGTTACAATCCCCAGGACTAAAAAAAAAAAAAAAAAAAAAAAAAAATTAAAAAG